TAGCTGTGGAAAAGTTGAAAATCAGTTTTTAGTCCCCCAGTTCTTCATAAACTATATATGCTAGGCAAAGCTGGGCTGAAATGCAGCTACCTTCAGGGTAAACAGCAGCAGGTCATTCATAGGATTCAGCATAGCACCAGAAAGGACAAAAAGAGGAGAAGAAAGAGCATTTTGCCTGAAAGGTCAGCAGGGGAAATATAAGTATAAACTGCTAGGCCATGGCCACAGCAGAATAGGGCAGGAGAGGAAAAGGCTGAGGCAAACAGAAAGGAAACTGGGATGGGTAAGGAGAGGAAGGCAGGAAAAAACATTATACAGTGTTCAGCTCAGCCACAGGTAGATCCTATCTGTTGTGGGTGCCACTTATTAGAGGAAAAGAACACAATTATTATATATTTCAAATGCATTTAATAAAGTACACTCTAGCTGATAGCACTGTCCTCAGCAGGTCCAGGCACAGAGCACAAAGAGAAAGGGGCCTCAGGCATTCACGTCAGGTCGCAGTTTTAAATAATTTTTAAACTACAGCAAGGTGCCAATTCTTACCTCAAGGTGCTGGACCCAGATAGACATGTCAGCAAAAATACCAAGTTCACTATATACAGGATGACCATAGATACACATGGCTCCAGAACCAAACAGTAGCTTACTATTTTGCCAAAGTTTTGAGTAATAAGCCTGGAGCTTCACCTCAACAAGAGTCACAAAGACCAAATTCAGACCTAGTGTGTAGAACACCATTGAATGTTATACTAGAAGTAAGTTAGCCTTCTACCTGCTTGTCTTACCAAAATCAGAAAACCTTTCTGATGGCTTGTACCAAATGTATTTTAAAAAAAACCAAAAGCAGCAAAGTGGGGCAACTCTTGTTGCCAGCACAAAACCCTCTTGTTTTCAAGCTATGCACCTGTGCCATGGGCAAACCAGCCATTTGGGATTTATATAAGATTGTACTCTGTAGATCCTGGAGTACTTTTGTTGGCAGCCATGTATAATTTTACAGGCAGGGAAACTGAGGAACACTGAAATATGACTTGGCCATGTGTCAGAAGACAGCAGGTTTCTATCCCCATTCCTTTTCAGGACCTCTTTACAGAAGAGAGGCAGGATCATGGCACAGTCTTGATTTTGCACACTTCACCTGCTGCAGACAGATTTTCTAAGTCCAAGCTTGGGGCAAAAAAGCCTGCTGCTGGCTAGTTCACAACACACCAGGCCTTAGCAACACAGAGGTCCTCTGCTTGCTGCAGGCAGGCAGGCCTGCTCTTTTTCAGCAACAGCAGGGTCTACCCAAGCATGTGTGATGAACTCATCACAAAAGCAATCAGGCATTAATTTGGTCAATCATTCCTGTGACAGCAAATCCAGTTCTCCAACTAGGCTACTTGAAGCAAGACTCCAACCAAACTGAAGGGCAGAGAAAATGCCTCAAAAGATACCAGTCTACAGAGCAGAAGTAGAACAATTTAGATATTGACCCATCCACACTTCTTTCTCTTTTTTAAGAAAAGGTTATCCAAGAGTTAAGTAGAACCAAAAATAAAATGCATTAAAAAATTAAATTGGGTCTTCCAGGCACTAATAATAAAAAGGCAGCCCACCCTCCAATCCTTCTCATTTAGAAGAGTATTTATTTGGAGTTTCTATTAGGCTGCTGCATGCACTGCATGTATCCTGCTTCACTAAAGAAGAGCCTTTTTGAAGCATCACTTGACTTTGTTTTAAATATCTCGCTACAGTTTCCATTTTAGCTCTGTGAGATGATTATTTTCTCTCACCAAACTGAAGTTATACAGCAGTTGAAAATGCTGATGGCTTAACTGGTTTCCTTTTTTTTTCCCCTCTCCACAGCAGCCCTGAGGGGTTTTAACTCTTTCTGCAGCACTGAAATCCTGCTTTTGGAGTTCAATGTTTAACTCGCGCTGGGAGACTCATAAATATTCGGAGTCACTCTCTCCCTCTCTGTTTGATTAGGAAATGAGCCTTTAACTCAATGTAATCCCCAAGCCATTAACAAAAAAGCCCTCAACAGCTCCACTATTAGAATTTCACTCCTAACCCACAGAGGATTGAATTAGATTAACATAACTACCCGCAATCTGAGTTTATTTTCTGTGCCAGATAGAAATGTGTCTTCAGGAAAGGAAAAGAAGAGAGCGGGAGAGCAAGCATAGCATAATGAAATGTAAAAATAGAGAGATGAGAAATAGATGGACAGATGTACAGGTGAAGTGATAAAAGAGGAGAGAGAGAGCAAGAGCGAGAGATAGCTACACAATCTTTAATAACTGGCTCTTGGCTTTGGGGGTTTTATTCAGAAGGCCCCTAAAAACACAGAATTGTTTCAAGAAGAGTATTTTTTTCCCTGCTGGCGTTTACTCCATATTCTCAGGGATTTACAGTGAGACACCTGAGCATGCTGTACTCCAGACACCTGTGCAGCAGATTTGGCACAGGTTTTATTTATAACTCCCAAGAGATGTCATACTCGGCAATGAGAGGAGGGGTGTGAAGAAGAGAATCTGCATGTCAATCATTACTTTGCAGTCAAAGAAACAAATAAACTAGGGTGAAACAAAAGATGTTTGTTGTTTGGTTTTTTTAACAAATAAAAAAAAAATCATGCAACAGCCCTGTGACAAACTGCACTGTGTAGAATAAGTCAATTTGGAGGTTGATAGGTGCTTAGTCCACAAAACACGAAACATAGTGAAGCAGAAACTAAATAACAAAGACTTCTCTCCATATAATGCATCAAAGTTTTCCCTTTAACCACAGATAACTCCCTCCCTCCAAATAAAAGCGGTCCCATAAACCATTGATTGGTATGCTACAGGACAGTAGGTGCTTGGTTATTTTTTCCAAATGCAGTAATAAAAAGATATGGCTGGTTTAACAGGGGAGAAGACCCACATACAATTGAAAAAGAAGGATAAAGTCCGGCAATTATGTGGACACAACTATTGAATAGTCCAAACAAATTCTTAACACTAAATCTTTTCTAGGTTTATACTTGGAGGACTTCTTTGGGAATGCTCGGATTTCTGCAAAAATGTACAATAAATGAGTTTTTTCAGTAATTCTCGAGCATAGTCGTGCTGATATTTCTGTTTGTGTAGGGAAGAAAAAGATTCAATTTTTATTTTTCAAGCGATAAGATGTCTCTTGGTTTTCAATTTTTAGGGTGGCCTCAGACCAGCTATATGATACATTCTTTGTTAGTTACAGAGTCAGCAATTTTATTTCTTTAATGCCTTTCAGAAAAATCTGCTCTCCCTTTATTACGCAATAACGTTGCATTGTCACAGGGAGGCAATAAATGAAATATAATGCCAAAACAAACAGAAAAGGGACTTAAATAATTTAAATACATTCATTCTTAAGTAAATAAAAAAGCCTTAATAATCAAAACGAAGCTTCCTATGATGAGAATGGTCAGGCTGACAGTTCTGTTTTATTTGGGGGGAGGGGAGCTTCATAGCAAGCGGAGTATTGTAATGATCATTTTGGACATTATTTGTGTATGTAAATTTACTGTGTTTATCCATATTGTCCTAATATTTAGAATTCTAGCTGAAAGATGGAGTATTTACATCAATGGTTAAAAATTTAGAAAGAATTAATTTGCGGTCAGTATTTTTTGTTCCTAGAACTTACCTTTAAAACTTTGAGTGTTATAAAATATACATCAAAGAAATACAAAATAAAGAACTAAAGGAAAAACCTTTTTACAGCCTGTCGCCTTTTTACACTCAGTCCAAGCAATTCAGATATCACGTATTTCTTAGGACTTGATATTTTAACTGTAAGACAGCTCTGCTTTTATTATTCTATTTTTATTAGACACTTCTTCCTCAAAATTATTTTAAGTTTAGCTATATTTTATTTGTTGTTACTTTCAAAAATGGTAAATTGTAAGGGAAAAAGTTTTTAGAACATATATTTCATGAGAAACTTATACTAAAAAACTTAACATACCAAAATTAAAAATTGTAACATTACCATTTTGTGGGGTAGATATTATAAATAAAAGAAATCAAGGAAATTTGTCTTTACTTAAAAATAAATACAGAAACTAAATTTTGTAAAAGATATAACCCAAATCTCAGAGGCAAAAATATAAAAAAAACCCCTCTGTGTTCTGACAAAACGTTATGCTAAAAGCTACTAATAAAGTAAGATTTCTAACTAATTATTGTTTTCCCTCTCTTCATATTCCTGTTAACAAAAATACTCCAAAAATATATCGTTGTTCAAGTATTTTGCATTTTGGCTGCTTTAAAGCAAGCAGCTCGTTGGTGAGAGAGTAAGTTCCTTCTTTGATTGCCACTGAGCTGACTTTGCAAAGACTTGCACCCCTCTTTTGTCATTGAAGAGACTTCAGTTGCTTTGGGACTTTTAAAATTAAAGAAACATCAACTGCTCAATGATAAATGCATTCAGTAAAAGCAAAATTTCATTTCATCTCCCTGCTAAGGAAAGGTTTGATATGAAGCTGGGGTGGGGGGGTGAATGTTGGGTTTTTTAGTAGAGAAAAGGGTGTCGCTTGGTTCTTTTAAGACAGGACTGCTGAAGTTTCCAGGTTTGCCTTTACCAGCACGGGATAAATAGCACCTGTCCTTGGTAAGCCCTTAAGCAGAGTTACGTTATACATTGACCTTTTTGGAATGCCAGCAAACCTGACCGTTTCTATTCCCAAAACAAAACTGTTCCAGTCAAACTTTTATTTGATTATTTCCAGAGGAAAAAGCCACTCTCAGATAGTGAAACTGCCTGATTTCTACAAAGTTCTGAACCAACTCCTCTCCTTGTGGGTCACACTGACCTTCCTGTGACAATGTGAAAATAGAAAAAACAATTATTCCCTTTAACCATATTGAGATGCTGCCATAATTTTAGCCAAGATAAAAGGATTGGTGCAGAGCAACATTTGGATGAAAACAAAACAAAACAAAAACCAACCCCATAAATGCAATAAAATGTAGAAGTTTGCTACTTACATGCTGCGGGCTGAGAGATGAAGCTCGAGGCTGGAGTAGAATTTCCCTTGCCCTCAGGTGTTTCTAATTGCTGATTAAATATCTTTTGGTTCCGCCTGCACCAGCCGACAGTCCCCTCTGCGTCTCTGCCTCTCTTTGTGACTAGGACACAGTACTCCGAGTCCCAACCTATAAATAGATCCCAGCTCTGTGATTGATATAACAGGCAGCTGACAAAAAAAAAAAAAAAAAAAAAAAAGGAGGGGGTAAAAAAAAAGGAAAGAAATAACCAGGTCTTAAGCAAAGCAGCAAAAGCTGGGCTTTTAACTCTGCACTGTGCCCAGGGAGGAGTCCCCCACAGTCACCCGTGGGCATCAGAAAGAGAAAGTGCAAGGCAATTACTTTCCCAGCAGCATTACAGCAACTTGAGGCATGTAAAGCTAGTGAACAAAATTGAATGCACAAAGAAGGAGAGGGAAAGCACAACTGGCAGACTGCATCCAACTCTTTTGCAATTTAACAAAAATAAATGTCATTTTAAAAACAAGTTGGGGATTCTGGCAGAATGAGAGAGGGGTTCAGAGTTGAGTTCTGGGGGCTGATCCAGGCGTGCCTGTATTTCTGCTGCTGAATAAACTAGGGCTAGTGGGTAGGTTAGCAATTTAACAGCTCAGCAGTCTACTTAGGGTATCTGCCCACAAACACTATTTGATGAGGCTGTTCCTGAAAACAAAACTGAGGGCATTGATGGTACCTCCCCTATTGCCTCAGCAGAAGTTACTTAGCACTC